AGTCCCAGCCTCAGAGGAGACAACAGAGCAGTGCATTTATTTATGTATTTACTGTATATTGCTGCTGCCACACAGATTTCCCAGCTGTTAACCTTCATAGACAGACATAACCGACTGTTTTTGTAACTCGTGTGTTTTTAACGTAAACTTGTGTGCGAATGAGAACTTAGTTTAGTACTCACATGCTGTGATAGCCGCTTTCTGTCCGTGTGTGCTCAGAAAACCATATATCAGAAGTTTAAACTCATATGGTTTAAAACGCATGATTTCAGAGCGATAAACATGCTAATCAGAACCAAAACAGATGTTTTTAGCAGGTCCGAGCTTTAGTGGCGCAGCTCTATTCTGGAAAAGAGGGCGGGGAGCAGCAGCTCATTTGCATTTAAAGAGACAGGCCCGAAAAACAGTGTGTTTCTGCTTCCACTCAAAATAGGCATTTTCAAAATTTTATAATAAATGATCTGTGGAGTATTTTGAGCTGAAACTTCACAGACACATTCTGGGGACACCAGAGACTTGTATTACATATTGTAAAAAGGGGCATAATATGTCTCCTTTAAAGTAATTAGAAGATTTTGTTAATGAAAATAGTATCACAAAAATGTCACCTTTAAAAAAAAAAAAACATAATTCTACATATTGTACATTCAAAATGTATAAATGTGTAATGTTCACTTTGCTGCAGTCCTGCAGTTTTAAAGTTTGTGTTCTTTTAGTTCAGCTAAAAGGCAACGCCAATCTTCGGTTCACATCTTCATGTGATAAGAATTCACAGGGCAGTTCACCAAACTTGAACTTCGCATGAGCTTGTTTCCTGTCTCCCGCGTTTGTATGCGTATGAATGGAAGTCAATGGAATGAAAAGTGTAGTGTGACCAGCCCTTTAGACGCACACAGTATTCTCACGAATGGTGGTTCAGCGGTTTCCTCTTCTAGCAGTTCACAGCATGGGTTAGATCATTGGTCTCAAACTCAATTCCTGGAGGGCCACAGCTCTGCATAGTTTAGCTCCAACCGTAATCAAGCACACCTGATCCAGCTAATCAGGGTATTCAGGATTACTAGAAACTACCAAGCAGGTGTGATTTGGAGCTGGTTGGAGCTAAACCCTGCAGAGCTGTGGCCCTCCAGGAATTGAGTTTGAGACCACTGGGTTAGATGGTAGCGCTGAGTAGATAGCACCACAGATCAAAGAAGGCTTTCAGTTAGCAAGCCCTTTCACAGCAGATTTATGATTCCTCTGCAAGGAGCAATCGATAATGCATATTGCTAGCGGGAATGAGCCGTCACCTCAGTCTGTGCCTGATATGGAGTCATCTGACTGTTCTGCTCAATCAGGTCGAGATATGATGCCTGTCATAGCGTTTACAGTAAAATGGGACTATTTCAGAACTGGTTTAACTTGAAGTTTGCTGGTTTTCCAGAACCTGTTGGTCCGCAGTGGTGCCTGGGATTCTTTTTCTACCATTATTTTGTAGTTCTAGATGATATTATCAAATCAGTTATAAACAACAACATATAGGTATTAGACAGTGACAGCTGCCATTACATACTCATTTTTACTGGATTTCACTGGATGACTTAACTTTATTGTCCTGCGTTGTGATTATTTAGTAGAATGGTTCCTTCGAGCTTGACTCTGTTGGCTGACTTGTAGCTACCCTGTTTTGCAGGTGTGCATATGCTGAAAATGAGTGCTGCAGGGGAGAATGCCCTGGACCCCGACACCCCAGAGTCACGGAAGAGGAAGGGCTCTCCATGTGATACCTCTGGTCTCAGGTGAAGTATAGGATTGTCTTTCTTCTCCAGTTCGGAGTGTTTCACATTACTGAGTGTTTTATAATGTCTTAGAAGTTATGTCATTTATGTAATACAATGACTTACAAGCAGACAGCTGACAATGCAGTCAAGGTTTTTTCAGAGGAAGTGCAGCAAATGGTGAATAGCAGGCAAAAATCTATTTTAACAAGAATGCATGCTTGAAGTGTAAACAATTTGTGTGTGTTCTTGTTAGTTTTATTTTGTGATTAACAAAACCTCAAAACCATAAACAAAACATTTTTTTAAATGGTTAGACATGTTACAAAGACACTTCAGTTTTTAAATCTTTTTTTTGTTTTGTTTAACAATATATATTTTTTAAGTATTTATTAAAATAGCCTTTTAAATACTAGAATAATGGCAAAAGTTAAGATTTTTTAAACCGTTTGTTTACCAGTAAATGATTTTTTAAAATTTGTTTATTAAAAAAAGTTTTTTTTTTTTTATTATTTTAGAATATGGGTGACAATTTAGACACTTTATTTTTCCACAGCATTTGTTTGTTAATTTATCAATAAATTAAAAATAGTTTATAAAGTCTTTTAAATTTTAGAATAGGAGTGACATAGCCCA